TTGGCGTGAAAATCTGGCGAGTCTGTCGCTTGAGTGCGCCTCCCGTCGTGTAACAATGGAACGCGTCTTCTACTCGAAAGAGATATGTGTATTTGGTCTGAGCCGTTGGGTAGCACTACAGATCAATCGGTAGATCCGGGGATCTAGGGGGTTGCTACTTATGTGGCAATTCCTCAAGTGTAGTGTATGTGAGTCAGGTAATAGGGCAAATGTTCAACAATGGAATCTAGGAGAATGTCAGAGTTGCGTAGTACCCATCTGGAATTCCCCTCATTTTCGTCCCTTCTTCTGTTACTTATATACTTATTTTTAATATACACTTTATACCTATTATACATTTTATACCTGATATACACTTTATACCTGATATACCTATTATACTTGATATACTTGATATACCTTTTTCCTTATTATTTTCTATCACCTTTTTACACGCTAACAGTATAGATCTTTGCTAAACTTATTAATATTAGAATTGATATGAAAAAAATGATTTATCAAATTTTTAAAAGCATAATATTATGAACCAATCATAAAAATATTAAATTAAACTTAATAAAAAAATATATATATTATTTGCTATTTAATATTTAATTAATAGCAAAATTAATAGCAGACTCTTAAATAATAATCAAGATTTTGTTAATATTTTGTGACAAAAGACTATTCAATAATTAATTTATTATTAATAAAACTTTTATTATAACAAATGTAATGATATCAAAGGTTAATTATTATAATTTAAATAAATATTTAATAAATATTGTTAATTAAATTTATTAAATTTAATTTATTTACAAATGGAATATATTTTTAATATCAGCTTGAAAAAAAGAATTTTGTGACAAAATCTTGAAAAAATAGTATTATATTAAGTAATAACTCAAAATTTAGATCAGAACTATTGTTTTCTTATCATAATTTTAAAATTCACTTGGCTCTTATTAATAAGCAATAAGTTTTTACAAGAGTATGACTTATTATAAAAAAATAATTATAATATTCTCAAGAAATATTTGTTAATTTTGAAGATGTTATATCTATTAATATTAGTAATGAAAATAAAAATTATATTAAGATTTAAGCAATTTTTAGTCACAAATACAAAAATGGATATATTTATGCTTTTATTGCAATTGATTAGTTTAAAAAACTCTACAAACAAATAGAATACTAAAATATTCTATTTATAAAATTCAATTGACAAGAAATAGAAGTTAGTAATAAATTTATCTATTTAATAATAATTGATTAGATAAAAAGAGTTAATTTTGTTTACAATTTTATATTTAGAAAGTATACTGATAGTTATGATTTATCAAATATGTATTATTTAAAAAATGATTATTTTTTTAATATAATCTGATAAATATATAATATACTATATAACAGTAATTACTTCACTATTAATTATAATTATATTACAGTATAATTATAACTTAATTGTTATAAACCTATAATTACATTAATATATAATCTTAATAAATTTACAATTATATTGCTATTGTTAATAGGGAAATTGTATAAATATGATCACAATATGCAATTTGATATGTTATATACCTTAGAAATTGGAAATAATCAGGGAATTATATAAGCAATAATAAATAATCAAAGCTTAGAATAAACTTTTTATAATTTTTTTAAAAAACTAATCTATTGATAGTCTAATTTCTCTAAATACAATAGTTTTTTTATCATTTTATTATTATTTTTAATATAAATAAAAAATAAATAAATATAGGTAGCAATAATGGAAAATTATAATAGAAAATTATAAAAAAAACTGTGCAATAATAATAAAAACTGCTTCTTAAATTAAAATCTTTTTAATTAAGAATGTGTGATAGATATGGTCAAAAGAAGTAAAAACTAATTAACTTATGTGTTCCAGTATTTGTCACAAAAAAGATGTTCAAACTACAAGAAAAAAAAGTGGTGAGATCTATCTAAAGAAAATAGACAATAAAAAGAAAAGAAAAAAATGATTAGTAAAAGATTTGACTAAATAAAAATATATACTTTAAGTAGAAAAGCAAAGAAAACTTATCTAATATTATGCAATACTTGCTTCAAAAAAGCAACAGATTTATTGAGAGAGATATCAACATTACTTAATTGTAACTTTATTATTTTTATAATTATTATTGTAAGATAATTCCACAAATAAATTAATATATAATTATAACCAAATTATTATAATCTTGTAATGATTTGATAATAACTTAATAAAGAATTCAAAATTTTTTAATTGCTACTTAATTGGAGAGATTTGATAGCAAAATAATTATTACTATTATAATTGAATTGGAACAATTTTTTAATAAATACTGTAATTATTTGATGGTGATTTTATAGCAATTTGATAAAGTTTTAATAGTGAAATAGTCAAAAAATAAGCACTTTCAATAAAGGATTTATTACTATTATATTAAAAGGAATATAAAATAAGTTTGAAAATTTGATTTTAAAAATAGACTTTCAAAAGCATTTGTTATTTTTTTTTCTTAAAATTTTATTTGTTATAAAAGAAAATTTTTATGCAAAATAAAAATTTTTAGAAAAATGTTTTTTTAATTTTTAAAAATTTATTTATTAAAATTATATACATATATAAACAAATTTTTAATATTTAGTAAAAACTATTATAAAAATTTAATAAATATTAGAATAATTTAAATAATATCTTAATATTTTTATCTTTTAAATTCTTATAGTAAATTAAATACGTTTAATATTAATTAATGTATAATATAACAAAAAAGTATTTGTAATTTTCTAATGCTATACTAAAATTTAATTTATTAAAAATATTGATTTATATATTTTTATTAGTAATTTAATAAAATATAATTGAAATTAGAAAATTAAAACTTAATGAAAAATTATAAAAATCATAAGAAAAATAGAAATATCAAATAGTACTGTTTGGTTATTTAATAAAAAACATAAAGAAACAAGTACTATAAAATTTTTATTATATTTTAATTATTTTTTTGCAGCTATATAATAATAAAAGCAATTACTTATTCATAATACAATAAAAATAAATATGTTTTATTATATTAATTAATTGTTGAAACCAGTTTTAAAGTTTTAAAAACAATAGTTGTCATTATCTTTATAAAAGTAGAACTAATTTTTATATTGTAATTAAAAAATTGTATATTTTATAAAAAAATTAAATTAAATAAATAAATAAATTAATGTAAAAAATATATTAATTGAAATATTGTATTTAAATGAAACAGAATTATTTGATTTAATGAATCAGTATAGAAATAAATCAAAATTTTCAATATAAATTAATATAAAATTTTGATTGTTTAAAATTTACTTTCAAGAATAATTACAAATTAATTATAATTTGAATTGTTTTGTAGACAATTGATTAGGGCTATTAGTAATTTGTAAAAAAGAAAACTTAAATTTTGATAATTATGTTAAATTCAAAATAATTTTAAAGAATTTAAAACCACTTTAGAAATAAATGACATATTATATTTATTTATCAAGATAATAATGTAAGATTCAATTATCAGATTATAATTTTTTGAAGAATTTTTGAAAAATTTTTAAAAATTGAATTCATTGATACAAGTTATTTTCAATAACAATATTACAATTTAAAATAATATTATAAGAAAAATAAAAAAAAATCTGAATCTGATATTTTGTCTAATTTAAGTGAAATATATTAAAACAGATTAAAATAATAATTAAGTTAAAAGAAGTATATATTAAATATTAAAGTTAAAAAAATTTTTTTTACATGTTTATTAAATAATGTAATAAAGAAAAATATTAAATTAAAAAAATATATATATGTATATTAAAAAAAAAAGCAATTTTGCAAATTATAAATATTTTTTTGACTTACTGTACAATAGCAATTAAGAAACCTATAATCATTATAATATTATTAAACCATTATCAGAGAAATCAAGACATGAAGATCCTATGGATTTTTTTAAAAATACTGTATTATTTATTCAATGCTAGTTATTCAATCAACAATTATCAATTAAGTGGATTTTTACCTTTTTATATAACCTGAAACTTAAATCTATTACAATAGTAATAATTAAATTGAACAAAATATTTCATACTTTTAGATATAACTTTTAAATATTTTACATTACAAGTTATTAATGTTTCATGTAAAAGAGTTTTTTCAATTGCAAAGAATATCATTAATCTTTCACGTAATCAACCCTACATACTGTATCTCCACGCCTAAAAAATTGATAGAAACATATGTAGTGTAATTATTTAACTTAAATTTCTATTGGTTCCGATCTGACCATGACGCATAAGAGTAGTTACAGTACATAATAATGAAACTCCTGTTTATCTAAATATAGGTTGTGTAAATATTTTATTTTAATGACCGATACAACCCTAAACGTTTTATTCATAAGGGCAGAGTACAAAGTCCGGATAAGGATATCCAAAAAAGAAAAGGTAGAGTACAATAGTCCGGATAAGGAGGTAGAGTGAATGAGGGCAAATGAGTACAATAGTTCGGATAAGGAAGTAGAATACAATAGCCCGGATAAGGCTAGACTAGTTATTTCGCCATGAGGTAAACTAGCGTGAGTTAATTGTATATAAAAGAGCTTCGTTTACTAATTGTGAGAATAAATTACAAATTCGAACAACATTTCAAATAATTTAAATAAATTTCACCATATCTGAACCTTTCTAGAGAATTTCACTGCCAAAGTTATATAAGTGTCAGCACAGGTCTTAATACTGTAGATCTAGTAGGTAAAAAAAAAAAAGTCAATTCAAAAAACAATCAATTGAACGATGATTCTTGCAATACTTAGCTTGCCAATTCTGAGTAAAACTCGAGAATGTGTACCTGATAATTCATCAGATTACGTGTTTAATTTGTGTGACACTTTGATTTTATGAATAGGCGACCTCGTAGCGAAACCAACCCAAAATATATAATCAAAACATAGTTTACAAGATTAGAAAGGTATCACCTTCCTATGTCTACCCTACCAAAAAGAATAAATCAGAATGGAAAAACGACTTTGCAACGCTTAGAAATTTTCATTAAGACTTTAAGGTCTCCGTTAAATACCGAGGTAAATGTGTTTCCTGTGTGACACTACTCCGACACATTCCGCATTTCGTAAATCGTAATGCAGTGAAAGAAAAATTATTTATTAAGGTTGTTATAATAACATTTTCACTGCGAACGACCACGATGAGACATAACGAACTGACTTTGATGAAAAACGTTTTTAAAAAGGAATCGTATTTAATGGGCATTTCGTTTATTAATATAGTCGTATATAGAATCCATAATTTTAAAAAATGAAGTAATCGTCACTTTGTGGAATAATTTAGGCACTTCAAAAATTAATAAGATGGATAATCTCTTAGTAAGTATTAGCATTTATTGAAAATATTCAGCGTATTTATTTATAAAATTTTGCATTTAAGATTGCCGAAAGGGTCGAGGTACCATTACACTTGAAGAGTACCGTATATAAGGATTTTGATTTAGTCAAATATATTATGGACGGAAATAAATATCAAGTTCGAGAGGCTACGTGGAATAACAAAGGAAATAAGATATTTATTGTTTTAAAACTTAATGAAGAAAAACCGGATAAATCAGAACATAGGGAAATTATCGGAAAGGTATATATAGGTATTACTCGTTATATATTAATGTAATTGTAATAAAGTTGACTAATAAAATGTATAGCTTCTAGTTTATCATTCAGTCAATGCGAAAAATACCCATGAAGGTACCATAAAATTTTATAGATCAAGGTATGTTTTTTTTTCGCTGATAATAAGAAATTATAATATATTTAAACATTACTAATACATTATTTTAATTCTTCTATTTTAGTCGATGTACGTAGCAGTTTTCTTTTAAAGATAGTACTTCTATTCGGTAATACTATTTAACAATATTTTACACTATAGTGCCTGATGGGTCACCCGTAATAATTCTAGAATGTATCGAGAATCCAAATCAACATAATTACCTATATGAAAACCTTAGCGAAGAAATAATAATCACGAGAATCATGATTGAAAAACATCAAAAATGTTGTGATAATCATCCTCATAGTTCATCCGATCTTAAATATGCATCGGATAATTTAAGTATGGATAAAATAAAACTATTCTAATAATGTTAAAATGTTTTCGTTCTTATTTTTTTTTACTTATTTATAGGATTCATATTAGATTATACTAAAAATGGTATGATTTATTATTTAAGATATTCTTCTGATTTACATTGCTAATTATCATAAATTTATGTAGAAAAACGGTCTATTGAACAATTCCGTAAGTACAATGTATTAGGTTATTGTTATTATTACTATTATAAATCATTTGGTTTACTTTATTAAATTAATAGAACAAACGAATTTATCCACTAATGATAGTTTGGTTTTTTCTTTAACTAAGTTTAAATACATCAAATATATTTTTCTATTTTTTTTCATTTTCTTTTCCTTATTTTTATTTTATCGTTTTCACTAAATTTTACAAGCTCTTGTGTATCATTTTCATAATAAAAATTATAAAAACTTATAGAATACTCCAAAAAAAATTATAGATATTTTCTATTGATGCTGATTTTGTTAAATTTGATTGAAATATTTCTTTCATTTTTTCATATATTATTTTTTTTTTTTGATAAATTTATTTTCACAAAATTTTTTCTCATAATTAAAAAAAATAACAGGGATTATTTAAATTGCTTGATTTATAAATTAAACAAAAGATTGTAGCTTCAGATCAACCAAATATAATTATATATATTTTTGAAATAAATTGAATGTTTTTGTCTTCAATTGAATAATTGATTCCATTTTTTGTTAAAATTAATGGTTCAAGTAATATCTCCAGACATTTGTAAAAAGTTTTGTATACAATTTTTTTAAAATTTTGTGATTGTTTTTCTGTTATATTTTCTGATTTAATTATTGGCAAATATTTTAATAGTTGTTTTGCATCCAGTTTATTGTATCTTCAAGTTGATATATTTTCTAATAAAATATATATTGGATATAATAAACTCTTTTCCAAAGTATCATAATTTGTTACATCAGAATATAATACTATTGAAAGTAATTTAGAACCTAATGGAATAGAATTTTCTACATCTCTTTACCAGTCACAATTATTTTATTCTTTATATATTTTTTCTTTATTATTCTATAAATGAATAAATTATAAGTAAAAAAAATTAAACATTTAACAAAATAATTTAATTACCAGATGAACACCATCGACTCTTTTCCACTTGTACACAATTACCATATTAGGAAACACAGCGATAAGAAAGAGACTTGAGTTCAAACAGAACTCTCAGAGGCACCTTGACCTCAACCAGGCCCAATTATAACCTGAACGAGCTCACCAAAGGCACAGCCGGCCGGAAAAGCAGAGAAACAACACCATATCTAGCACAAAAACCAGCAAAGAAACAACTGCAAACTGAAGTGAAAAATGACAAAACGAAAGTGACAGAACAGGAACAAATCAAAATGTTTTTAAAAACAACTACAAACCAAACTACCCATGGAAAGGAACAACCAGACAACAAGAAACAGGACAAGGTTATAGAAGAGCCCAAGAATACTACACAAGAATCTGAAACACATGAACTTTGGAGCGACATCTACTAACAGGAGAACCCCAACTCCCACGCAGGAACAACCACAGAACCCTCCACTAGACAGGTAAGCATTTCCCAGGAAAAAGACAACCCATATGAATGGGCAAGAATAAATGATTTCGACAAAGAAATAGAGACAGACTACCAAAACCCAACATGGAGGATCCAAGACAAAGAAAAAAACCAATGCACCAATGGAGCAAGCCAAGACCATGCTCCCCATTCGACAGAAGCATCAGATATGGATGCCAATGAAGTAAAGTAGGAATCGAAGCAAAAGTACTTCCCAGAAACACAATCGAAAAGAAAATCCAATACATTACCAAAGCACTAGGCTGCCCCAAAGGCCTCATAAACATCTGCAGTGAGGGGAAAAAAGACGAAGAGCTGATCACTGCCACATTTGGAGACCACCATGTGGTGGCACAAGCATGCACCATAGACCTACCCAATCTGGAAAACACACATTTGGATTTCATTCCCACGTATGATCCCATTCAGAAAAGGGAAAACAGTATCAGAGTATGGGACATTTCCTGAATACAAAATTTATAGAAGTGCAACAAACCTTCACCAAATATGGACAGATTACAAGCATCTCAATGAGCACACAACAGATGTGGCAAACCACTATCATTATATTCGAGGATAAGAGCAGCAAGGAAAAAATCGTAAACATATGGAGCATCCCCTTCAAGGTCAATATGGTTAAAGTATTTGATGCACAATAGAATCTAGCACAAATGAAAGAAAGAGGCCAAATTGCAGCAAAACTCACAAACCTCCCACCCAACACAACAGCCTTCGATCTATGCACTATATGTCAACAAATCAAGGCAAAAACATGCTACATCCCACACAGAGAATCATATCAAAGGAAAAGATTTGCAGTAATCAGTTTCGAGAACACAGCCGATCTAAGCAATGCTACACAACAAAACTTCACGATCGGAGAAACACAGATCACATGGATACAAATCGATACCAAACTATGTGCAATTTGCAACGGAGACACACACCTGGTGGCCACGTGCCCAACCAAGGAAAGAACAAACCACTGGTCAGAATATAACAGGGAACAGGCCACAAAGTTCGGTAAACTATATGAGAAATTCAAACCAGTGAAAACACAAAAAATTAGAAAACATATCCCTCCCCAAACAAGAAGAGCAAGACTAGGCACATATGCAGCGGCCGCAAGACATCAACCAAGCACCAGTATAAACACAAACTACACTACTGAAAATGCAAACATGAAAAAAGTACTCAAACTGTTGCAACAAATGCAACAAGACATACAAGAAATCAAGCAACAAATAACAGACATGGACGAAAGAATCACAAATCTGGAATATTATGAAGAAAATGATATCAGAGCCATGAAAACAGAAGAGGCAGAAGCGCAAGAGACCCCAAAGTACCAACAAGACAAATGCAAACATCGAAAAACAACACAACCACGGCACAGGAAATCATAGACCTCCAGACACGCCAAAGACAAATCCACAAAACTATCAATAATACCAACCAAACAATGAGTGACTTGTCCAACATAATTCACACACTAATTCCTGGCAATACAAAAACCTCCACTATCAATCAATAATATGGGTAACAACTAAAGCAACACAACAGATGCAGAAAGCATCACAAACAATCTTTCAACACTATATGACTCAATTAACAAATACCTAAAAGAGGACACAAACATAAACAACAATAACAACACAGATGGTAAACACACACCACATCAACCCCTAGACACGCTAGAATACTCAAAGACCCATCAATACTTAAAAAAAGACAACACACATAACAAACAAAACACAACACAAACAATAATCAACAACACAAACGAACATCACCATGCCAAAGAAAACATAACACAAAACAGAACAGAGAAGGGACAAGAGCTAGAAACATGAAAGATCGTTACACACAATGTTAAAGGCTTCAACAACCAAACCAAAAGAGATATAGTGTGAGTCAAAATTATTGGAAAATCACTGCGGCGAGATCTGTATAAATTAAACTAACCAAACTCAGACAGGAACGTGACACCAAAATGTAAAGTTAAGTAGAATCGAACTTTAACTAACTTCTCTTTGAACTTTTGTTTCCCCGGCTCCTCTCCACCAGCGTAGATCGAAGTTGAAATGACGACCATGACCCCTTCTAAACAGCGAGAAATAATATTATCTTTATGGAAAAATGGTGTACGTACAGCAAAAAAAATTTATGCAGCAACCAAAATACCCCTCACGACTATTTATAATAACCTTCGGAAACTGAAAAATATTAGTAAAGTAACGAAGTCAAAAAGAGCCGGTCGTCCGCAAGTGATTTCACCCCAACTTTCACAAAAAATTAGGCGTTACATAGAAAAAAACCCTTCTATTTCTACCCGGACTTTAGCAATAAAATTAGGTGAGGTGGTCTCTCCGTCAACTATTTTGCGGCATTTAAAATCTCTAGGTTATAAGAACGATATACCTAAAGAAGCACCGATGCTTACCCTTAAACAAAAGAGAAAAAGATTAAAATGGGCGAACGAACACAAAAACGATAATTGGAACAATACCTTTTTTTCGGATGAAACTGCTTTCCAGCTCTTCCGGAACA